ACGTCGTCGTCGCTCGCGTCGTCGTCGCTCTGAGGCGACGTCGTCGTCGTCGCTCTGAGGCGACGTCGTCGGCGACGTACATCACGGCGACGTCGTCGTCGCTCTGAGGCGTCGGGGCGCTTCTGGAGCGCCTCGGCGCCACGGCCGGGCGCGGCTCGGAGGGCGTTCCAGAGGACCCCACGGGGGAGCGGGGGCTGGTTTGACCGGATTCTGGCTGGGGGGGGGGGGATCGGGGCGACTGCAGTTGAATTCTGATGCCGCGAAGTGTTGTGGGGACGGCCAAGGGAGCAGCATGCAAGGCAGGGGGAAGTATGGGAAGACATGGCAGCAGAATGGCGACAATCCACATTTGGTATTCATACAAACACAGAAGCCGATTGAACTTCTATTGGTTTCGAGCACGTCTGAGTAATTCTGCCCAGCTAAAGCGTTGACGCCTGCTTAAGCTGAGTCATCATCATCATCGCCAAGGGAGCACATGGGTCCAGAGCAGAGGCCTGTCTTGAAGTTCTCTTGGGGCCCCTTTGAGGCCCTCCCACGGCTTTCACTGGGGGGCTTCTGGGGCTCCCTGCGGCCGTCTTGGGGCTCTCTTGAGCCGTCTTGGGGCGCTCATGGGCCGTGTGGGGCCCCTCGAGGCCGTCTTGGGAGTATTTTGGAGCCGTCTTGAGGCCTCCTGGGGCCTCTTGCGGCGTTGTTGGGGCCCTTTCGTCTGGGGGCGATCTTGAGGATCTCTGGGGCCGCCTTGGACGTTTTTTCAGCCCTGGGAGGAAAGATTTACGTGAGGGTTTCGATGCTTTGAGCCTCTCGGAGGCTTCTTGGAAGTCCTGTTGGGGCCCAATCGAGCACTCTCGGGATAATTTTGGACCGTCTTAGTGGCCATGGTGAGGCATCGTTGGCCTGCTCGGGCCGCCTGGTTGGCACCTCCCCGGGGGCTTTGCATGTTCTTTTTGTTGGGGGGTGTCTTGCGAAGCTTTCTGGGGGTGTTGCGCACGACTCCCAGGGTCCCGGTGGCACACCACGGCGGTTTCCCAGCGCACTGGGCCGACGTGCTGGTGAGAGGACTCTAGCAGGGACCAGGGGCGCCTGGGAGACCCATCCCGCCAGGCACCCCCTTCTCAATCCGCGGCCCCTCGAGCAACTGCGTTTCGCGCGTGCCATCTCGTGGAAGACGCGCTCCCCTTCGCGGATC